TCATTGTTGCACTTTTCTCCCTGCCCACCCCTCCCCTCCAGTTCATTCTTCTCTTTGAAAAGTAAAAGAAAAATTCCTTCATTGTTTTACAATCCCTCCCCCCATTTCCACTCAATTATGCAGCCTTCCTTCTGGACTGCGGTCATGAAAATAATACTCAAACACATATCCCCTTTAAACAGTTCTCTCCCTCATCTGTTTCAATGCAGTATACATTATTTATCCTATCTTTCTCAATCTCCCCCACGCCCCAATGTCAGTCCTGCAGTATTTGTCCTTTTGTGACTGAGATATTTCACTCAGTAGAATGTCCTTCAGGGTCACCCATTTTGAATAATATTGCATGAGTTCCTTGTTTTTCAATGCAGCACAGTATTCCATTATGTGAAAATACCACAGTTTCTCTATCCATTCGTTTGTTGATGGGCACTTAGGTTGTTTCCAACTTCTTGCTATTGTGAACAAAGCCATGATAAACATGGGTGTGCATATATCTGCTTGGGTGGCAGTGATGATCCTTTGCGGTATATTCCCAGTAGTGGAATTGCTGGGTCAAATGGTATCTCTATTTACAACTTTTTGAGAAAGCGCCACAGAATGTTATTTCTTATCTAACATCCCTGTCCTTTCTAGAGGCAGGTGCGAATGTGAACTCTGCTCTGGTAGCAACTCCTTCTTCATTTAACACTTCATCTTCCAAACTGTTGCAGAAACTATTTAACCCTTAGGGAGACCAGGGCCAGACACAGAGTTTTCATAGAATCTGTGGCCGTAGGAAGATGCCTGATGGTACAGGTTGCACTTGACTAACCTGAAGACTGACGGTTTAAGCACTGACTGGTCAGTGATGAAGAAGAAAGGTCATCTTCTTCAGTAAAGATTAAAAATCCCTAGTCCAGTCGGTCTTGACTCATAGTGACTAAATAGAACAGAATCTTTGTGGAAATAGATTTCCATATCTTTCTCCTTCAAAGTGGCTGGCTGGATTCTGGAGGGCAGTTTGGCATTTCCTCAAAAAGCTAAGCATAGAAATTCCATGTTGCTGTTATATGCCATCGAGTCACCTGTGACCCATAGCGACCTTATGTACAGCAGCTCTGAAGCCTGCCCTGTCCTGAGCCAGTCTCACTGATTTCAACACACCAACTCCCATTGCCGCAGTTACTGTATCAGTTCATCTCATCCGGGGTCTTCGTCTCCTGTGCTGTCCCTTCACTATTCCAAGCATGCTATCCTTCTCCAAGGACCAGTCTCTCTTGGCCATGTGCCCAAAGTATGTGAGAGAAAGCTTCAAATTCCTTGCCTCCAAGAAGAAACTTTCATCCTCTCCAAGACAGACCTATTTGAAATTCCTTATGACCCAGCTATTCCACTGCTTGGAATGTACCCTGCGAGAACTAGAACTGAAGCACAAATAGAGACTTGTACACCAATGTTCTTAGGAGTGTTATTCACCATCGCAAGAGCATGGGAAGAGCCAATTGAATGGATTGAGAAATTGTGATACATTCACATAATGGAGTACTACTCAGCATGCAGGAGCAATGATCTTAAAAATTACTAGATAACTTGGGAGGAACTGGAGAGCATTATGCTGACTGAACTAACTCAATCCCATAAGGACAAATACTGTATAAGACCATTATTGTAGAAATAGATAACTAGTAAAACATGCGTGAGGATCCAAGGGGGGGAGGGTAGGAGCAGAGGGGTGAGGGAGGGTAGTGGATAATCATATGGTCCTTCAATCTGATGTGTGTGGGGAGGGGTGGGTAAAGGAAATGGGAAAGATCTGGTGTGAAAAACAATGTATAAGGAATTTTTAAGCAAACCAGTATAAAATACAAATTTTATTAGGAAAAACAAAAGAAAGAAAAAAAACCAAGTGACTGGTTGGGTTCAAACCAATAATGTTTCTTCTTCCCTATAGTCTGTAGGTTCTTTTTCCTTAATATTATTATTATCTTTTTTTTTTCTGAGTGATGTTTACAATCTTATTGCTTTTTCATATAAACACTTACAGGCTTTTTGTTTATAATGTTAATGACTGTTAATTTGTTGTTGCTGTTGCTATGTGCCGTCAAGTTGAACCAACTCATAGGTTTTCAGAGGTTGTAACTTGCAAGGGTGGAGACTGCCCATCTTTCTCCCTTGGTGTCACTGCTAGATTTGAGCTGTCTGCCTTTGGGCTGGCAGTGAAACTCCTTACCCACTAGGCCCCCAGAGCTTGACCATTGATTAACAGTGTTACTGTATTATACTGTCTAATCACCTTTTCCATTTAGTTAGCAGCTGAACCCTTAACCACTATGCCACTAGGACTCCTTTGTGTAAAAATGACAGCCAAGAAAATCCTTTGGGACAGTTGTGCTCTGTCACACAGGGGTCATTGTAAGTTGGAGTTCACTCAACAGCAATGAGTCAAAGAAACAACATTTGAGTGTTGAGTGTGAGTCATCGGAAATGTAAACTCCTGAGGGAGTGAGCAAGTGAATGTACAATGTCGTTCCAGCTCTGGGCGAGGAGTGTTTTAGACCTGAGCGAAGTCTGTCCCTAGTGAATTCTTTCCTAAGAAGCAGGAAGCGTAGATCTTGATCAACCCTGATATACATACAACTTTTCTAATTTTAAGCCATGTAGTGTTCCCTTGCTCTGTTTGCACAGTAGTCTCTTGGTCTGGAAATAGGTTTTACATGAGCACAGTTAAGTGCTCTGAAATTCCCATCTTTCTCAAAGTTAACCATAATGTATTATAAGCCATACACAGTCAAATGCCTTTGCACAGTCAATAAAACACAAACATACATTCTTCTGGTGTTCTTCGCTTTCAGCTAGGATCCATCTGACATCAGTAGTTATATCCCTGATGCCACAGCTTCTTCTAAATCCTGCTTTGTATTTTACTTTCATGTGATATTAATGGAATAATTTCCATATTCTGTTGGATCACGTTTTTTGGGAATGGAAACAAATATGGGATCTTTCCTGGTCAGTTGGCCATGCAGCTTTCTTCCAGATTTCGTGGCATTGACTGGTGAGTGCATCCCGGGCGGTGGATCCGTCTCTTATTTGAAACATGTCAGTTGGTTTCCCGCTGATGTCTGGGGCCTTACTTTTTGCAAATGTCGTCAGTGTAGCTTGAACTGCTTCCTTCATTACCATTGACTTTTGATCATATGATGATTTTTAAAATATTTCACGTCTGGAATAAGACCTGGAATAAGGTCTGGGATTGCTTTTCTAACCAATTCTTGTTATGCGTCAGAGAGTTGGGCAATGACTAAGGAGGACAGAAGGAGAATTGATGCCATTGAGCTTTGGTGTTGGAGAAGAGTGTTGAGGGTACTGTGGACTGCTAGGAAAACAAACAGATTCATCCTGGAGAGGGTTAAACCAGGCTGCTTCTTGGAGGCAAGGATTCTGAGGCTTTGTCTGACATACTTTGGATATGTTGTAAGGAGAGACCGGTCCTTGGAGAAGGATATCATGCTTGGGAGTGTGGAGGGGCAGTGCAGGTGGGTATGCCCTCTAGGAGATGGATTGAATAGGTGACTGGGGTAATCAGGATGAGTGTGTTGGAGACAATGAGATTGGTACAGGACAGAACAGAGTTTAGGGCTATTGTATATAGGATCACTATGAGTCACAAGCGACTCGACGGCACATAACAACAACCACCACCAATTCCTAAGTGAGAACCAATATCCTCTGATAAAAACCCTATTAAAGGGAATGTTTGTTGTTGTGTACTATCGAGTCAGAATGGACCCATAGTTTACCCTCCAGCAGGTTTTCAAGGGCAGTTAATTGCACAGGAGAAGGTGGACCATCCTTTTATCTCTGGAGCAGCTGGCGGATTTGAACCGCATGCCTTCAGAATTTCAGTGCAGATTCTTACCATTAGGCCACTAGAGCTCCCTATTAAAGGGTATAGCAATATGCAATAAAAGTTTGCTTTTTGCTGTTTGTTGCCAAATTGGCAACGACTCATAAGAGACCCTCCAGTGGGTTTTCAAAGCTGGTAAGTCACATGGGAGGAGATTCCCATCCTTCTGCAGAGCTGCTGGTCCATATGAACCATGTGCCTTTGGCATTTCAGCACAGATTCTTACTACTAGGCCACCAGAGGTTCACTAGAGTATATTGAAGGAAAGAGCAATGATAAAAGTTTATTATTCCAGACACGAAATATTTCAAGAAGCATCATATGATCAAAAGTCAATGGTAATGAAGGAAGCAGCTCAAGCTACACTGAAGACATTTGCAAAATGTAAGGCCCCAGACATCAGCGGGAAACCAACTGACATGTTTCAAATAAGAGACGGATCCACCGCCCGGGATGCACTCACCAGTCAATGCCACGAAATCTGGAAGAAAGCTGCATGGCCAACTGACCAGGAAAGATCCCATATTTGTTTCCATTCCCAAAAAAACGTGATCCAACAGAATATGGAAATTATTCCATTAATATCACATGAAAGTAAAATACAAAGCAGGATTTAGAAGAAGCTGTGGCATCAGGGATATAACTACTGATGTCAGATGGATCCTAGCTGAAAGCGAAGAACACCAGAAGAATGTATGTTTGTGTTTTATTTTAAGTTATTTCCATCAGCGAATGATAATTAATGCCTTTGAATGATTGTCTGAAAACAATGTGATCTGTAAGCTTTCAGTAAACTAAAATAAATTAAAAAATAAAGATCTTCAGAGTAGGAAGCAGTGATGGAGCTGATAGTAACAGCAGGTCAATGACACTGTTTTCCTAATTAATGTTGATGAGATGAATACTAAAAATGGTTAAAGTGGCATATCTTATATTTCACCACAATAAAATGTACAGAAACAAAAAAGATATCTTAAAAGACTGATTAAAAAAAAAAAATTTAAAAACCCTTGCCAGGGGCCTCATGGGTAAGGGATTGTGCTGTCCGCTTGAAGTCAGCTGGTGCAAATCTTCCAGCTGCTCCCTGGGAGACAGATGGATCATGTTCTTCTGTGCAGTTTACAGCCTCTAAAAACCCGTCGAGGTTCTGACTTAATGGAACTGAATGTAGGCTGTTTGTCACAGGGAAGGAGACCAGATCAAGTGGTAGAGGCCAATGCTGTTTTGAGGACGATCTACACAGTTCATACATGTTCAGGCAGGAATAGTTGCCCCATCAAAGCTATTTCTTAGAACCTCCAAATACCAATTAATTAGACAGTGTACTTTTTTTGTCTTAATTTTTGTTGAAAACTAGAATAATTATGAAAAAGAAAATTATGCAGAGAAAGTGAAATTTCTCATTAGCCTACCCCTAGAGCAAGAGTTCTCATGCACAGGCTTATCTCCAGGGGCCACTTGGCCAAGAATGGAGACATTCTTTGAGACAGTGTGGGGTGTGGTGGGCGTGCTGTTGGCATTTTGTGGGTACAGGCCAGGGCTGCTGCTGAACCTCTCACAGTGCTTGGGATAGCCCCGCCCCCAGTTTTAGAGAATAATCAGGCCCAAACTATCCATTTGTCAATATCCAAACCTTGCGTTAGAAACAACTACAGTGAAAAATTTGTTATTGACTTTGAGAACTTTTAAAAAGTAAAACATATTGATATGTTAGTTTAAAAACATAATCGAGTTTATACATTTTGATCTGCTTCACTTTGTACAGAATACGGAGTCCTAGTGGTGCAGAGGCTAAACACTTAGCTACTAATTTATTTAATTTTTTTTTTTTTTTTGTAACATTGGCCGACTTTCCTAGTGACCCCACCTGACTTACCAGCTGTTAATATTGGAGTCAAAACCTTCAGGAAACTTCCCCTCACTTACTTCACAACACAGGATGTGGGCTTGTTCCCCACTGTTACATAGATGAGAGGTCCAATGTCAAAAGGGTGGGGCCGGTCCTTCTGGGGCTGAGCAGGGAGAAGCTACTCACCAGAGTGCAGATTTCCTGATAAGTGCCTTCAAGAGACTGCGCTCTTCCCACTCCACTGCAGAACTAAGCCCGCCAGCTACTAATTTAAAGGGTTGGCAGTTTGAATCTACCAACGGGGTCAAAATGGACACCATGACAGTAGGTTTAGATATTTCAAAAAAACCCAATATAAACAATAGGACATGGATATTAATCTATAAATATATGTGTGCACACTGAACATCGCATGGGATGGCCAGAACAAATGAATGTTTCTTGGAGAGGATGCAGCCAGAGTGCTTCTGGGAGGCAAGAACAATGATGCTTCACCTCATGCACTTTGGACAGGTTGCTAGGAGGGGCTATTCCTTGGAGAAGGACATGATACTGGGAAGGGTCGAGGGTTAGGGAAAGAGAAGAAGACCCTCAGCCAGGTGGATTGACAAGGTGACTCATGCGGTACACTCCTGTGTGTCAGGAAGTGTGAGGATGGCACAGGATAGAACAGGGTTCAGATCTTTTGTTCATAGGGTCGCTACAAGTCCTACTCGACCCAATGACACCTATCTATCTATCATCTATCTATCTATCTATCTATCTATCTATCTATCTATCTATCTATCTATCTCCTTGGAGGCAAGAATTTTGAAGCTGTGCTTGACACACTTTGGGCATGTCGCCAGGAGGGACAAATCCCTGGAGAAGGATATTATACTTGGATGACTGGATGGACAGCTCAGCAAAGAAATACCCCTAATGAGATGGATTGACACAGTAACTGGGGTAATGGCATTAGGTGTGTCAGCGACAGTGAGATTAGCTCAGGATAGAGTAGGGTTCAGAGCTATTGTTCCTAGGGTTACTATGAGTCCCAGGTGGCACGATGGCCCATAGCAACAACAACATGAAAAAGTAAAAAAAAAAGAAAAAGACACCTTAGTAAAAGAACTGCATAATATGTAGTATTCTACTGTATGCTTAAGCCAGAATGAGTGACATCAATATTTTATCTCACATTCTTGCAGCTAAAAAGGAGCATCCTCATTGGTCAATTTTGCATGGGTTCTTCCCTATAAAATGACCACAGTAGTGGATAGCTATGCCTTAGGGGGCAATCTTACATGAAGGAACATGTGTAAAGCACTTAGAAGAATAGCACCTGGCACACAATATGCACTATTTGTGATGTCTTGGGACCCAACATTGAGAGGGGTTTTTAATAATAATTATTGTTGAGCTTAATTCCGATAACTACTTTGTTATTTCAGGTTAACTGCCTGGCGTGGAAATACTGGAAGGTTGCCAGGTTTTCTATGCCGCCTTTTCTTTTGGCCGCACTCCCGTAAGTGAATGTCGGTCCTGTTTTCTGGCTCGGCAGGGAGGCTGATGGGAAACACTGGAGCCAAGGGGATTCTCACTATATGGGATTTTACAAAGAATCAGAAACGGAGCCAATTATGTTCTTGAGGACTAGGATTTAGATTCTGGACCCCTTGTTGGTTTTCTTACTTTCTCTCTGACCCAGTTCTTAAAAACCAACCCAAAGCTGAAGGAAGACCAATGAAGGAGGTCCCATCTGGGCAGCCTTAGCTTTAGGCATGCTTCTGGGGAAACGGCTGATGCACAGTGGGATTTGCATTTCTCCTGGGTCTGCAGGAGAAGCCCTGATTTCAAGCACTGCCCAGATACTGTTTATTTGTTTTTTCCTCCTTCATGTCTTTCTCTGGCTTCTTCCTGTTCTTGTCTTCAGTCACTGGGGGAAAAAAAATGTTTTGAGGAATGCTTTCTTTGTGTGGCTTCTTGGAGTTAATGAACTTTTTTCTGTGTCAGAGTTTATAATCTCATGGGCGGAAATGAACAAGTGTGAAGCCAACCGTAAAATAAAAGTTAGTTCGATACCACAGTTTGTAATATCAAATTTTCTAAATGCAATTTTTTAATATTACAAATTTATAATATAAAATTTTAATTCAATTACAAAATTAAAATTGTAATATCACCTTTGGTTGAAAGTGACAGACTCTTAACTCCAACTTGTTCAGATAATGGAAGATTTGGGTTCAAAGAACTGGAAATTTCAAGGGTGGACTTCAGGCATGGCTGGATCCAGGGCTCAATTGCTATGAACTGTTTCCCTGTTTCTTACCCTAATCCTCTGCTGTTGGCTCTGCTCTTGGATGAGTTCTTCCTCTGTGGTGATCTCTGGAAGTTCAAGTCTTCATATTCAAGGAAATATATATATTTCTCAATAAGATATATATATCTCAATAAGAACCTAAAGATGGAGGTTTCTTGGTCTAATATGGGCCATTTGCTTGTGTGAAGGCAATCACTGGAGTTGGAAACATGAGTACATGTAGCTCTATACTGAACTCCTGGAGCTGGGAGTACAGTGGACTTCATCCTACTTAGGCTTGGAGTCAAGGGGATAGTTCTCTGTGAAAACTAGGTTTAGTGGACACTGGACACAGAGAAGAGACCACATCACTCAGACTGGAGAGTCAGTGAAGACAGAACTAAAGCCCCAGAGAGCTTAAGGTGGTCAGTTCAGAAAACTGCAGAGGAGATGTCTCATCCATTGATGGTCCAGTGAAGCAAAGTGCTTGGGAAAACACCCAGAGTGTGAACCTGCAGAGCAGGTTCATGGATCATGGGGGGGTGGGGGTGGGGTCTTGCGTGATGCTGAGGTCTTTCACTTGTCCTCTGAGTGTAGCCATCGGATGTATGTTTCAGATGGATCTTGGCTCCTGTCTGTGTAGAGGAGAGGGATGTAGGAGGCCTGGCTGGAAGGAGGGAGACAGAAGAAGCTTATTTTAATAATCCAGGCTTTGCCATGGCTGGCTTTTCCCACTTAGCCACATCTCTGCTGCTTTAAAAGGGACTCCTCTGCTACCTTCATTGTGTTCTCTATTATGGAGCCATTTCGTTTCCTCCTCTTATTCATTATTAGTGAAAAGACCTGTTACATTCACTGGCTTGTATGTTTCTTTCCCCAACGAGAAGGTAAGCATCATTTAGACAGTGGTCACCCATGTCTCGTTCATTTCTGTTCCGGGTGTCTAGTATACTTCCTAGGACGCAGTAGACACTCCATAGATATTTATTGAAGGGATAAAGTTACAAATAAAACAGCATTACTGGTAATAGAAAGGCGAAGAAAACTTGAGTAAAGAGAGATCAATAATGGATTTAGGAACAAGGGGGAAATTTAAGATTGCACCGCGGGAGTCCCTCAGTGGTGCAAAGTATTGATATGCTTGACTGCTAATCGAAAGGTTGGAGAGTCCACTGAAAGGTCTTTGGAAGAGACGCCTGACGATCTATGCCTGAGAAACCAGTCATTTTAGAGTCTGTGGAGGATTGGTTCATCTGCTAAGAATGAGGTCATTGTGAGTTGGGAATGAATCAACAACTGGTGTGGTGAGCACGGCCACCTTGGAGAGGTATTGACTTTGACTTTGGAAACTCGCATAGTGGTGAGTAGAGCCAGCCTTACTCACCTGCTAAAAGCTTTTCATTCACTGACACTTTGAAAACAACTTTATTGAAATGTAATTTACATGTAATAAAAATTCACCCTTCTAGAGTGTACGATTAAGTGGTTTTAGTATATTAACAAATATGTGCAGCTGTAACGGTGTTAGTTTCAGGGCATTTTTATCACAAAGGGAAAACCCATGCCTTTTAATCTTCAGTCATCTGCCACTCCCACCCCTTATCTTTAGTAAACATTGATCTACTTTTTTACTAAAGTCATCAAGATATTAAAAGACTCAAAATGGCATTCAGAATTTGGTTTTGCCTTTATTTCAGCAGTCAAGAAAGCAAAATATGTATTGCATTGGGCAAATCTGCTGTCAAGGACCTCTTTAAGGTGCCAAAGAGCAGGGATGTCAGTTTAGAGACCAAGGTGCACCTGAGCCAAGCCATTTTCAATTCTTTATTATGCTTCTGAAAGTTGGACAATGAATAAGTGTTACAGAAGACTAATTGATGGCTTTGAATTGTGGTATTGAAAAAAAAAATTAATGTACCATGGACTGCCAAAAGACCAAACTTCATATGAAGCTTCACCTCACATACTTTGGGTATGTTATCGGGATGGGTGTGTCAGAGGCAGTGTGATTGGCACAGGATAGAACAGGGTTTAGGGTTGTTGTACATAGAGTCGCTATGAGTCGCAAGGGACTCAACGGCACTTAACAACAACAACAACATCAGGAAGAGCTGGTCCTTGGAAAAAGACATTATGTTAGGAAGGGGGGGTCAGAGAAAGAATGGAAGACGCTCATGAAATGGACTGACTGCAACAATGGGTCTGAGCAAGGCAGAAATTGTGTCATTGTCACATGATAAGGCAAGGTTCTGATCTGTTGCTGATAGAGTCTCTATGAGTCATAGTCTGTTGGATGGCACTTAAAAACAGCTTTCTGACTGTAGAGATGCTCCTACTTTGGACATGTCATACAAATGCCTTCTTTTAAGAGGTGGTCTTTTCTAACACAAAAGTGACTTCTTTCACTCAGCATAATGTTTTCAAAACTAATCCATGTTGTAGCATATTGGAATTTTATTCCTTTTTATGAGAGAGTGATATTTAATTATATGGCTAAAGCACATTTTCTTTATCCATACACCTGCCTCAAACTCTTTTATACTGTATGTCCCTAAGCAGAAATGTTCCAGCTGAGTTGTGGGATAATAGGAAGGACATCATTCATGAGGAAAGCAAAAGTTCCTTAAAAAGACAAGGAAGAAAGAACAAAATGGATATCAGAAAAGACCCTGAAACTTGCACTGAAATGAAAAGAAGCTAAAACAAGAAGAAATAATGCTGCAGTAAGAGAATCAAAGAGATGATTTCAAGGGGCGACTTGAGAAGGTAAAGCAAGGTAATTATAATGAAATCTTCAAGGAGCTGGAATTAGAAAATTGAAAGGGAAGAATATGCTCGATATTTCTCAAGCTGAAAGAACTGAAGAAAAATTCAAGCCTCGAGTTTCAAAATCGAAGGCCTCTATGGGCAAAATCTTGAATGATGTAGGAAGTATTTAAAAAAAGATGGATAGAATACACAGACACTGGACCAAAAAGAATTTGCCGTCATGGAAACATTTCAGGACATTGTATATGATTGAGAAGACATAGTAGTAAAAGAAGAAGTCTAAGCTCCAGTGAAGACACAGGTGAAAAAAAGGTCCCAGGAATTTATGGAATACCAATAGAAGTGTTTCAGGAAACAGATGCAATCCTGGATATGCTCATCAGTCTTTGCCAGCAAGAATGGAGGACAACTGTCTGGCCAATGGACTGGAATAGAGCCATATTTGTTCCCATTCTCCCAATAGAATCCAATAGAATGTAGAAATTATTGAACAATGCCATTAATGTCAACAGCAGTAAAATGTTGTTGAAGATGATTTTTTAAAAAATGGCTTGAAATTCAAGCTGGATTCAGAAAAAAACACAGCATGAGAAGTATCATTGATGATGCCATATGGCTCTTGACCGAGAGCAGAGAAAACCAGAAAGATGTTTATCTGTGTTTTATTGGCTATGCAAAGACATGTGACTGTGTGGATCATAACAAATCATGACTAACACTGAGAAGAATGGGAATCCCAGAAGAGTCAATTGTGTTCATGTGAAATCTAAACAAAGCTCCACAAGCAGTTGTCTGAACAGAAGAAGGGAACATTACATGGTTTAAAATCAGGAAACACGTGCATCAGGACTGTATCCTTTCTCATATTTATTCGGTATGTATGCTGAGCAAATATTTGAGTAGCTGGACCATGTGATGCCACAATCTTCCTTGCACAAGTCCACCAGTCATTGCAAGTTTGAGCAATGCTTTTGGGACATGGAAAGGGCACAAGATAAGTCTACTTCTTGGCCATAAAGAGGAGCAGGGTGGTGGGAGGCTGGTTCCCTGACAGAAAGAACTGAGGAGTTCATATAGGAGAGCTGATGTTAAGGAAGGAGGAACCACTCAGAAAAGGAGGGTGGGAATGATTGTAAACTTAAAGAATAACTAAGATCATGATATTTTCCATGCACAAACTGTTGAATTAGTGTACGCTCTGCTGTGTACATCCTCAACAACATAACAACAAATCAAATACATTATTTTAAAAAAAAAACACTGGAGAGGAAAAAAAAAAAAGAAAGAACATTTGTGATCAGCTCCAGGGAGGCCTGGTGTCATAGTCTGTAGGGAGTTGTTAGTAATCCAAAGGAGGTGTCACTCTGGTGGTTCAAATCCACCAGCGACTCTGACGGAGAAAGTTGGGTACTGTGATTTACCCTCCTGTGTAGTTTACAGCCTTGGGAAACTTGCTGGAGGGTCAGTTAGGAGTCAGTTCTGACTCGACAACAGTGAATTGAGTTGAATTGCATGCAATAAGCTGTAGGGCTGTGGGAATGAAAAAGCAGCTTTCTTTCCTACCTTCTGCATTCTCTCACCCCTTTGCTCTCCTCTCTCTCTAGGGCCCGCTATCTGGCTTCAGTCCCAGCTTCCCAGTTCGTGCCCTTTCTGATCAGCCTGGGCAAGAAGCAATTGGACTCCTTAGTTTCCGATTCTCACAAAAAGAATTTGGTTCTCAGGAAAGTGCAGCAGGGCCTGGTAAGGATGCTTTCTTAGTAAGACTTTCTCTGACCTCCCTCCCTTCCCCTCCTAGGCCTGTGGACAGGTGCTCTGGGGAACCTACCAGGGCCTCTGGCATGGATTTGAGTCTGCTCTGGTGACTGGAGGGAGCTTTGGACACCTAGTCTGTAGAGAGTTGCACTGCCAATCCACAGGTGACTTCTTTTTGGTGGTTTAAACCCACCAACAGCTCCTTCAGGAGAAAGATAAGCAATCTCCTCTTGTATATGTACATAAAGCCCTTGAAAACCCACTGGAGGGTCCACTTTCCGTTGATCCTGGCTCAAAGGCAGTGAGTTTTTCATGATTGAGTAATGGCTGGAGGTCCGGGCTGGGAATTTCAGAGCTGGTTGTGTAGCTGCTGATTTGCAGTGTTGACCATTGATGCTAGACTCTCAATCCTATCTGAGAAGAAGCCTCCCTAGAGGCTTTGGAAGAGCATTTACACAGAGCATGTCTTCTAGAATGATTTTTTCAGCAATTATGTGTTTTGAGGGATGTCATTTCTCCTTCCTGAGCTGCAATGTCCTCCCCAGGGAGGTAGATGCAACAGCCTTTATAACCTCAATAGAGCTATTGAAGGGATGAACTAGGAGGTGTACACTTCGACCCTGGAGGCTGGACTCAGTGTCACTATTGTTGTTAGATGCTGGGGAGTCAAGTATGACTCATAGCAACCCTGTGAACACAGATACGAACCCTGCCCTATGCTGTGCCTTCCTCACCATCTCTGATATGTTGGAGCCCAATGTTAGAGTTATTGTCTCAGCTCACCTTGAATTTCTTCCTGAGACCCTCTGTTTTTCCCAGTATAGCAATTACTGGATGAATGGGTTAAGCTCGGGTACGTAGTAAGTCCTCAGGGAACATTAGCTACTTACATCGTTTTGAGAAAGGACTCCTAAGACTTTTCCTAGTACTCTTCAAAGTTTGAGGTGCTGTGTTTAGAATTGTATAGTTTTTATTGTTGAAGTCTGAACAATTCCAGAGCGAGGACAAAGATGAAGGCGACAGCCCACATCGACGGAATGCTCACAGTGTGGCAAGACTCACCAGTAACTGTTCCCCACTGGGATCTCTAGACTTCTGAGACCTGCAGAAGGTGGGGGTGAGGTGGTGAAATCAGACCCCATGCCATAGTCCCAGTCTACGTCAACGTAGCCGGCTCAGATCCCAGCATCTACAAGGGTGGCCTTTGGAAAGTGTGTTTAAGGGATCACGGTTCGGAGCCCTGCAGCCTTTCCTCATCCACTTTGCTCGTGGGTTTCAGAATGGCTCCGTTGTTGACGAGTATACCGTGGACATGCTGGGGAACCTGCTCTGCCACTTGCCTGCGGCTGTTCTCGATGGAATCTCCCCCAGGGCCTGGACCACTGCCCTGCATGGCCTCAGAGACTGCGCAGTGCTGGGCCCACTGCAGAAGGAGGCTGTACGCCGCAGGCTTCTGGAGCAGCACGGGTGAGGGTGGTCACGGAGGGAGGCTGGGTGGTCACGGAGGGAGGCCGGGGTGTGTGGGTGAGGCGATGTGGAACAGAGCCTGGCACATAGCATGAGGCAACTGTTACTATTTTTTTTTAAATTATTGTTTTGTGCGTGTGTACCGTCAAATCAGATCTGACAGGTACAGGAGGAGGACATTGCTCCTCCTTCTCCAACAGAGCATCTGGTGGATTCAAACCGCTCACCTCTGGGATGGCAGTGCAGCTTTTTGCCACTAGGCCACCAGAGCTCCCTATCTGTTATTATTTTAACACTAAATAGACAAAGGATATGGAGACAAGTGTGTTTTCTGCCCTCATGGAACATACACTTCAATGAGCTGGTATTTTTAATTAAAGAGATAGCGGGAAGTGATTTGTCATTCTGACTAGAGGATGGTGCCTCTATCCAGGGGAGAAAAATCACCCAAAATCGTGTAATGTCCTTCACTTTAGACATTAGAGGCCTGTTTAAGAAAAATGATGAATACTTTGTATTTTCCTGTGAATTTGAAGAGGAAATCTTGACTTAATTTTAAGAAAAGGTTATTTTGAGAATTTAAAAGTAATACATTGTTATTATTCTATTAAGGAAGGGGGAGAAGAAAAAGAAAAAAAAAAGCCAAAACTAAAACAAGTTAAGATTCATTGAATTCAGAAGTAGAATGCGATGAATAACTCTAGTGTGGACCTCAGGAATGGCTGGATCCAGGAGTTAAAATGATATTAGCAGAAAATGTTTTGTCTCTGAATTGTATGTTTTTGGTGTGGAACTAATTTTCTCCACTTGGTGAAAGGAATTTCCTGAAATCCTTCATACGAATAGAAATTTCAGAAAGACATCTGGTGATGCCTTACAAATATCCAGGGGTGATTCTGACTGGCCAGTTTACATCATATGCCCCTAATCTTGGTCAGGGAAGTGGGATCATGTGAAAGCCTCTTCAAGTAGACATATGGTCTGTTCCTGAAACAAAATGATTCTGGGAAGGTAGGCAACAGATGTTTATGAAAACTTTATTTTTTATCTTACTTCTCATTTATCTCTTCTTAGACTCCCTCAGAACTGGACAGCAGAGACCACAAAGGACGTGGGACCTTTTCTAGTTCTTTTCTCAGGAGATGAATTAAGCTTTATCACCACAAAGGTAACTCTGAAGAAGGTTGAAGGATTTGGAGGGGCAAGAAGTGTAGTTATTGATATCCCACTGGGTTTACAGTCAGTCAGTGGTTCTGGAAGCTTCTGTCCACCTCCAAAGGATACCTAGGATTCACATAAAGAGGGTGAGGTAGAGCTAAACTGGGCCTTCACATGCTCCTCCATGGTCATTTTACCACAGGGTGCCTGTCTGGGTTTATCCCCCAACCCCCACATGTCTGTCCAGTGGACACCACCAATGCCATATGACATACATCTGTATGTCCAGTGTGTACAACTACAGGTGCAAACACATTCCATACAAAATAAAATTTTATTGAGTGAGAACTTGGTCACAGCACTCTCCTGGTGGTATGGGAAGAGTAAGACCATCTTGGCCAGAGACAAAGGAAAAACAAGGATGAAGGAATAATTTTTTTCTTCTAAATGGTATAATGCTGGTCTGTCCATTTGGTGTACAGAGGAAACTCATGGTTGTTGTGATGCTAAAAACTGTGACACTGATGTGTCAAATATGATAATGGTCACCCATGGTGGACAAAGTTTGGTGCAGCTTCCAGATTAAAACAAGCCTGGAAGCAGGAGTGGCATCCACTTCCGAAATAGCTTGCCTCCGGAAACCCTATGAACCTGGAGAAACGATGAAAGCTATACAAGTGTTCAGGTCTTTTGTTCATAGGGTCACTATGAGTCATCTATGACTTGAAGGCACTTAACAACAACAGCAATATTAAAAAGAGTGTACGCAGCATGGGGACAGCCGAGTCTGACTTCTACTGACTCCACAAAGGAAGCCTGTCACCATCAAGGACATTCACAGAACAAAACTACTTCCTACAGGGTCAGACATGGTCTCCCACACTCTTGGGCCTATGTCTTTGCTAATTCTTGCACCTAATTCCAACACTAATCTTACTGCTTTACTGGACCCAAAATCTGTTGCAGTAACTACACAGACTTTTTAGAACCATACTCACAGTTATGCAATTCATTAAGGAAGTTAACAGGCTATAATTCAAATTGGCAGAATGATACAATCCCTTAGTCCAGACATTTTCTCAAGCATGATCTCAGGCTCTTTGACCTTCAGCCTCCCTCATGACTTCGATCAATGTTACAAAGTTCCCTTAGTCCTTCCAGTTATGATGTTTTCCCTCGGTCCTCCAGCGAGCTTGGGGGAAGACCTCTGCTCCGGCTCCAGCTCAGTGGCGCAGTATTTCCAAGTCCACTCTGTTTCTTGCCATTCTCTGGTTCTCTGCTGAAGCTGCAGTTGCTCTTGTGTAGATCTTGATATTGCTGGTGCAGGAAATCTCTGGTTCCAAAAGATGAGTGCTACTTTCTCATCCTTGTTGATGTTGAGATCCCCAAATCCTGCTATAGATTTCACTCAATTTAGTGGCAACACTAACCAATCCCCTTATTTGGCAAAGTCAAAGTCAATAGCGAGGAAAGCCATTTTGAACAATCAATCTTTGACACCACACTGACAGACACAGTCTTACTGGCATAGAGAAATAAGCATTGCTCCTGGGGGTTTGTGAGGCTCCGAGGCAGCCCTGTACTATGCATGTCTCTGCGCCTGAGTTACCCGGAGCTTATTCTCCTTATTCTCAAACTCCAGATAAAGGGAGTAGAAAAGTTCCTTTCCTTTAAGGTCTAGCATGGTGTGATTGGCTCCGTGTAATTTTGGCCAGGCACCATTGGCCAATGCAAATCACATGGACAAGCCCCACCGATTTTTTTTCCATGTAGAATTTGCATTTTATTCTTTTAAAAAACTTTTTAAATTATTATTAATTTTAATGAATATTTACAGAGACTTTGGATTTCCATTCATTCATTGTTGCACTTTTCTCCCTGCCCATTCCCCCCCGCCCCCAGTACACTCTTCTCTTTGAAAAGTAAAAGAAAAATTCTTTCATTGTTTAACAATCCCTCCCCCTAGGTCCACTCTTTTAATGCAGCCTTCGCTCTGGACTCCTGTCATGACAATAATACCTAATCACATATCCTTTTTAAACAGTTTTCTCCCTTATCTGTTTCAATCAAGCCCCACCTTAAGATAGCAGTGGTCTCTTTTCCTGGGTGGAGGCTGCATAACAGCAAATATCTGCTGGACAATTGTCAGATCTACCACAAACCACATATGCACATTCTCAAGCATATCGGGTGCACTTCCTCATATAGGGTGCCCTGCAAGACCTTAACACATTGGACATCACTTAGACTCACGTGTGCTTTGCAGTGATTCTTATGTCCTATAATAATAAAATGATTTCTTGGGTGTAGAGAGCTGTGGTGCTAGTCAAAAGGCCATGCCTTTTTGGCAGTTCGAATCCACCAGTCGCTCTGAGGGAGAAGGATGGGCAGTCTGCTCTTGTGTGATTTACAGACTCAGAAAACCCACTGGAGGGTCAGCTATGAATGAGTTGGTCTCAACTCAAATGCAGTGGTTTGGATTTTTTTTTTTTTTGTGTGTGTGAATGTACCGTCAAATCAGATCTGACTGGTACAGGAGGAGATTGTCCCTCCTTTTCCCGGCAGAGCATCTGGTGGATTTGAACCATGTGCCTCTGGGATTGTAGTTGCAGCTCCTTGCCACTAGGCCACCAGAGCTCCCCTGCTTTTGATTTTTTTAATGCGTGTGTCCAAACATGAAGTCATAAGCAATGGGTGAATAAATCTTATGTATAAGCACATCTCTTTTTAGTGTGCTAGACTCTATTGTTTTTAAAGAGAAAGTTTGTGGCAATTTTACACTGGACAAGCCTATCAGTGGGTAACAAGAGCACGTGCTCACTTTATACCTTTGTGTCACGTTTGGCAATTCTCACAATATTCCAAACTTTTTCATTGATAAGAAGCTGTGTTGTATCCTGACCGCTCACGGTTTGAATCCATCAGCTGCTCTGCAGGAGAAAGGTGAACAATATCCTCCCACGTGACTAAGTGCTTCTGAGAACCCGCCAGAGGATCAGCTGTGGGTTGGTTCTGATTTGATGGCACACAACAACAACAACATTGCACACTTACACTTTATAACGACAGCACATAACAACAATATTATACACTTAATACTACTTGTCAGTCAAGTCAGAACCAACTCATAACTGGCCCTTCACCAGGTCTTCAGAGGCTATAAATTCTACTGGAGTTGAATGTTCATCTTTCTCTCTTAGAGCAGATAATGGATTAGAACTGCTTACCTTTGGGTCAGCAGCTCGCCTCCTTACCTACTAGACTACTAGAGCTCTCTTAATAGACTACAGTGTAGTGTAAATGTGCTTAATATGCCCTGTTTTGTTGTGTACCATTGAGTTAGAACCGACTCATAACTGACTCGAGTGGATTTTTAGAAGCAGTTTTAATTGTGCGAGAACAGATTGCCCATCTCTCTCCTGTAGAGAAGCTGGTGGATTTGAACTGTGCACCTTCTTGATTGCAGCATAGTTTCTTACCACTAGGCCACTAGAGCTCCCTTAATATGCTCTAGAAAAAAATATTATATGACTCACTTTATTTGCTTTATTGTTGTGGTCTGGGACTGAACTCATGTTATCTTCAAGATGTGCCTATATTGAATAAATCTTTCTGTATTAAATTTTGAATTGAAAGGTCAGAATCAACATGGTTAGATTTTTAAAAAGTGTAGAATAAAAGAAAAGTAAGTTGCAAAAGAATATGTATAGTAAGATACTAGTTAAAGTTTAAACACATGCTAAACAAAGCTGTGTTTTGTAGTTTCTTACTCACGTGAGATTTTATACCCTGGGATGGTTCATACTGGGCTCAAGACGTTGGCCACTTCAACGGTAGGAGGGACGGTGAAGAAGGAGGGAGGAAGGGACCAGCGAGTCTTCAATTACGTTTGTGATGTTTTATTTTTCAAGCTGGGTGGAGGGCAGAAACGTGCCTTGTCACATTATTCTCTATATGTTCTTGTGCCTCAAGTGTTTGATAGAATAAGCAAAGCAAGCTCCGAGTTAAAACAGATTCCTATCACACCAAAGGACAAATATTAAGAGTAAGTCCCCCTCCCACCTGATGCTTCTTGTTCCCCAGTCTCCCTCCTCAGATACAGTTCCATTTTCATTTTTCTTCCAGAACCATCCTACACATGCCTAGACATACTCTCTTTGAAAAATACAAAATGAAAAATATTTATTCTGCTATGTGCATTGCTTTTACAAATGCTAAATGCAGTTTCTCTCAACCTGGTGGTCATTGTTAGGAGTTTTTTTAGTTTGTTCTAACTCATAATGACCCCTGTGGTGGTGTTGGTGGTGTTGGTGGTGTGTGCTATCGAGTTGTAACCGAACCATAATTGACCCACCCTCCAGCTGGTTTTCAGAGGCAGTTAAACACATGGGAGGAGATTGTCCATCCTTCCACCATGAATTTGAACCGTGAGCCTTTGAGATTGCAGCACAACTTCTTACCACTAAGCCACCAGAGTGCATGACAAACATGTACAACAAAATCCTGCCTTATCCTCACAATCCCTGCGTCTTCTCCACCATCTCTGCTGTACTTAAATCCATTGTTGCAATCTTTGCATCCATCTCTCTCATTGAGGGTCTTCCTCTCCTTAGCTGACTTCCTAATTTTCCTTGTCTGAAGTCCTCGGCCTTAATTGCACATAGTCATCAATCACTACAGGTTAGAGAGTGCACACATCTCTAATGTGAAATGCTTAGAGTAGGCAAATGTACAGATTTCAACATTTAACAAGGGTTGTTAGGGATGGAAGAGGTCAGAGAGGGGACGGATCATGGTTAAAGTAGCACTGAGCTTTTGTTTAAGCATCTTTGGTTTTTTTCCTGGAGGATTTGCATTTTATTGCCAACGGATCAGGGTTATGGTTGCACAGTATGACCATGGCTGGTCTCACTGAATTGCACACATGGAAAAATGGTATAATATGTTATCTGTGATTCTATAATAATAAAAACCATCAACTGGGAGGCTTAAAATGGGATGATACAGAACCAGAATCTCTGAACATGGGACCTGAGGAGATTCTCAGAGAATTCCCAGCTCCTGTCTTTCATTTTTAGAATTAAGTCTAGCATAGAAAGATATACTGTAATTTAGGATTCTGATGCTTCGTCTCACACACTTTGGGCATGTTGCAAGAAGGGACCAGTCCTTGGAGAGGGACATCACGCTTGGGAGGGTGGAGGGACAGCATAGGAGAGGAAGACCCTCGATGAGGTGGATTGATTTCGTCACTGGGGTAATGATGATAGGCGTGTCAGAGACAGTAAGATAGGCAAGTAATAGAGCAGGATTTAGGGCTGTTGTATATAGGCTTTCGAGTTGCACGTGACTTGACAGCACATAACAACAACAACAACGACAACAACAACTGTAATTTAAATGATACTTTCTCTTTAAGTGCACAGTGGACATACACAGATGCATGGTGGGAGGGTTTGTTTCATTTTTTGGGGTCATGACCAGGTCATCCAATAGCACTCTAAGTCTTAACAAAGTGCCCATGAGAAATGGTACCTTCTCCAGGACAACCAGAAGCTTCTAGACTTCACCCCAAATCCAGAGATACTTCTCCTCCTTTTAAAGAAAAAGAATAAAATTTTAAAAACAGTACCAAACCACAAAAGGGTAGACATCTACATTTCTGGTAGATTGCTCTAGTTAAAATGCACCATAGAATAGTTCCATAGAAAGAAATGAGTGTATTCATTTCCCCCACAGCTAGTGTTGGGTATTAACACTTTATTATTCTTTTTTTTTTTTTTTGCTATCCCACTGGTGTGAAATGTATAAATATTCTGTAACATTTATTGGATTACTGTTGAGTGTTACTATAGGATTCAGTAGAGATCAGTTTTGTTGGGTTAGGAATTAAACTTTTTATGAGAAACTGCTGTAAAGGGAGGGAAAAAATCCAAAACAAAATAATAAGTAGTGTGTGGACAAGTTGTGTATACTGCATTGAAACAGATGAGGGAGAGAATAATTTAAAAGCGATATATGATAGGGTATTATAGTTATCACAAGAGTCCACAATTAAGGTTGCATAGTGGAGCGTACTTGGGGCGGTGGGAGGGGTGCGGGGGCATTGCATACCAAAGAAAGAATTTTTCTTTTTCTTTTCAAAGAAAGTAGTGAACTGGGAAGGAGGGGACGGGAGGGAGGGCTGCGCAGGGAGAAAAATGCAGTAATGAATGAATGGAAATCCAAAATCTCTATAAATATTCATTAAAATTACTAAAATAAAAAAATTGATATAAAAACCCCAAAAACCAAAACTTAAACCTCTGAATTCTTGATTAAATTGTGTAGCCATGTGCTTTAATTATTATTTGTATCTCTCTTTCACCTTCTTTCCTCAACACAGTTTCCTGATATCTTTCAACAAACAGCTTCCAAAATGACCAGGACTGTGCCCCCTAAAGAATTCCTCTGGGCTGTCTTTGAATCTGTTCAGAACAGTAGCAATGAGGGCTCCAGTTTTGACTCCAGCCCTGGTGAGTGCTTTTGGGGACAAGTAGCTCTGGAGTGCTGATCAAAGAAGTGTCACAGCTTGAATAGGGTTTACCTTGGGTGATCATCTCTCCAAGCATTTTCTCATCTTCATCTGCAGCCTCCAGGTGGTCATGACAGTTTCCCCCATTTTCTCAATGAATAAAACTAAGGGTTAGAGAGACTAAGGGACTCTGAAAGTCATAGGGCCTGTTAGAGGCAGATCTGGATTATTTGCCAAAGCTGGTGTCCTGCACCAGCTTCTACTGCCCCCAAAGGTCTACAGTCCCGCTGTGACATTGCATCAGTCCTGCTCTGTGTGAGTGGATATGTGAAAGTTAGATTTCCCCACATTTTAGGGGGAGGAAACTTTATGCCAGTGCACAGTCCAAGGTTTTGGTTTTCCTTTAAGATGTTCCAGTTAGTAATTACTTCTGTCCTTGTAAGAAGGAACCCTGATACTACAGTCCATGACATGTCAAGCTGCTAGCCAAAAGGTTGGTTGTTCAAATCTACCAGTTGCTGGTAAAAAAATATGGGTGGTCTCCTCCAATAAAGATTTAAAGCCTCAGAAACCTGATGAGCTGAAATCAATTTGATGGCTGAGAGGGTTTTTTTTTGTTTGTTAAAAAAATTGGCCCTTACCTTAAAAACTAAGGATGGGTGGGGGGTTGGTGAGGGAAACTGGAAGAATCTGTTCCGGAAAACAATGTATATTAAACTAAGTATAATTAAAAAATTAGAAAAAAAATTAAAAAAGAAAGAAAAAAATTAAGATTGTTAACAATTTCAGCTTACTCAGATCCAAAATCAATACTCTTGGCACCATCAGTCAGGAAATCAAAAGATGAATTGCACTGGGGAAGCCTGTTGTCAGGGACCTCGCCAAAGTGCTAAAGAGCAATGATGTCAGTCTAGAGACTAAGGTGAACCTGTTTCAGGCCATGGTCTTAGCAATACTTGCTATGCATCAGAGAGCTGGACAATGACTAAGGATGACAGAAGAAGAATTGATGCTTTTGAGCTGTGTGAGAAGAATACTGAACATACATACCATGCACTGACAGGTGAATAAACAAGTATTGGAGAAGTTGAAACCAAGTTTCTCCCCAGAGGCTAGGATTTTGAAGTTCTATCTTACAAATTTTGGGCATGTGACCAGGAGGAACCAGTTCTTGGAGAAGGACATCATGCTTGGAAAGATGGAGGGACAGCGCAGGAGAGGAATATCTTGGATGAGATGGATTGACACAATAACTGGGGCAATGGAATTAGGTGTGTCAGAGTCAGTGAGACTGGCTCAGGATAGCACAGGATTCAAAGATATTGTACATGGGTTTGCCATTAGTTGCAGGCGACTTGACGGCACATAACAAACCAGTCTTAAAAATTATATTTGTATTAATTTGTACATATGCATTCATCCAACAAATATTTACTGAATACCTACTATGTGCCAAACTATCTTGTAAGCAGTGACCCTGTTGTTCTAGTAAACCAATTTGTTCCTTTATAATTCTGCTATAAAAAAATTAAAACCCCAAAATTCATTGCAGTTGACTTGATTCTAACTCATAGCAATCATATAAGATAGAGTCAAATTTCTTCATAAAGTTTCCAAGTTTATAATTGTTTTTAAAATAAAATTTTTATTTTATCCTGGTTTACATTGCTTTTCACATCAGATCTTTCCCATTTCCTTTGCCCACTCCTCCCTCCACCCATCAAATTGTATGACTCTATGATTACCCCTCCCCTTATACCCCCACTCATTTTTACACCTCTGTTACCCCCTCCTCTCCTTGGATCCTCAAATATGTTCTACAATGATGGTCTTATACAGTATTTGTCCTTGTGGGACTGAGTTAGTTCACTTAGCATAATACTTTCTAGTATTTCTTGAGCTATGTAGTGATTTACAAAATCATTGCTCCTGTGTGCTGTGTAGTAGTCCATCTTATAAATGTACCATAATTTCTCAATCCATTTGATTGTGATTGGACATTTGGGCTGTTTCCTTGTTCTTGTGATGGTGAATAATGCTACTATGAACATTGGTGTACAAATCTCCATTTGTGTCTCAGTTCTCTTTTTCTCAGGGTATATTCCAAGCCATGGAATAGCTGGGTCATATGGAATTTCTATGTTCAGCTTTCTGAGGAAACACCAAACTGCCTTCCAGAGTGGTTGTACCATTTTATAACCCCACCAATCAAGTTTATAATTTCTATAGACTGCCTTATTTATTTATTTATTTATTTTGTGGAGTGGTTGGTAGTTTTGGATTGCTAACCTATCAAGGTTATCACTGTAGGGTGGCGAGTCTAGGAGGTGTGGGTTTTTTCTCCCCTTAAGTGGGTTGTTATACATATCTGAGGATTACCTCAATATCCTTGATCTTGTCCAGTTTCAGATCAATTGAATGTCCACTAAAAGTGCAGGGAGTGGCCACAGGGTTTGGGAAATTCCAGGGTCCTAGATGGTGCCATAGGGTTTGAGATTGTTCACAGCTTTAGTCTGTTTGGCTCCACAATCAACACTCTTTTTTTATTATTATTAAATTTTATTGGTTTTAATGAACATTTACAGGGATTTTGGGTTTTCATTCCTTCATTGCTGCACCATTCTCTCTACCCTCCTCCCCAGTTTGTTCTTCTTCCCCGCCATCCGAATGTCTGTTTTAATTGTCCAATTGCCACAGTGCTTGTCAAAGTCAGTTCTGATTAATCTCTTTTGTTGGTGTGTCCTTTGCCATTCCCTATCACTCCTCCCTGAGAGAGACTTCACCCTGATTCATAAGGAAAAGGGGATGGCGTATTCTCTTAGCTACTTCCTGCTGAAAAGGGACGCTGTGGGTTTCAGGGTGAAGATCTTCTCTCACTACTCTAAGGGGCCCCTTTGGCAGTAGGAAACACATAGACTATTATGGAGATTGATTTTGGAATTTAGATGCACTCTTATTGATTGTGCTTGGCCGTACATGTTCATATCCTTGAAGATGTATCATGGGGGTGTTGCAACCTAGAAGACACAAATTTGACTAACAAGTTATAAGTACATGAGTCAAAAATTATGGAAAAGTAAAAGAAAAGATTCTTTCATTGTTTTACAAACCCTCCCCCAGGTCCCCTCCACCATGTAGCCCTCGCTCTAGATGCCTGTGATGACAGAAATACCTAGTCACATATCTCTTTTAAACAGTTTTCTCCCTCCTCTGTTTCAGTGCAGTATACATTATTGAACCCATCTTACTCAGTCTCTCCCCAACCCCGAGGTTAGTCCCATTCTACAACAGTGGCATCATGTAATATTTGTCCTTTTGTGACTGGGATATTTCACTCAGCTTAATGTTCTCCAGAGTCAACCATTTTGAATAATATTGCATGAGTTCCTTGTTTTTTAATGCAGCATAGTATTCCATTGTGCGAATATACCACAGCTTCTCTAGCCATTTGTTTGTTGATCACAATCAACACTCTTGGCACCAGCAGTAAGGAAATGAAAAGATGTATATTGCAATGGGAAAGTCTGCTGTTAGGGACCTTTATAAAGTACTGAAGAGCAATGGTGTGTCTCTGGAGACTAAGGTGCCCCTGATACAGGCCATGGTCTTTGCAATCACTTGATATGTATCAGAGAGTTCGGCAATGACTAGGGAGGATAGAAGGAGAATTGATGCCTTTGAGCTTTGGTGATGGAGAAAAGTATTGAGGTTACCATGGACTGCTAAGAAAACAAACAGATTCATCCTGGAGAGAGTTAAACCAGGCTGCTCCTTGGAGGCAAGGATTCTGAGGCTTTCTCTGACATACTTTGGTCATGTTGTAAGGAGAGACCGGTCCTTGGAGAAGGACATCATGCTTGAGAGGGTGGAAGGCAGGTGCAGGAGGGGAAGGCCCTCTATGAGGTGGACTGATTTGGTGACTGGGATAATCGGGATGAGTGTGTCAGAGTCATTGAGACTGGCACAGGACAGAACAGATTTTGTGCTGTTGTACATAGGGTCGCTATGAGTCGCAAGCGACTCGACGGCACACAACAACAACAACAACAACAACAACAACAACAGATGGTGCCTCTCAGTCTGACAGCATCTTTCATGCTCAGCTGCTAAAACAAGAAACCCAAGATTTCTCTTAACACATAGAGCCTTATTCTCTTCTCTAGGCTTGAAAATCTGGGCCTGCAGAGGCAATATCTTTTTTTCATACAGATAGGTAACTGACTTGGTCAGGTAAGGCTAGATTTAGTCAAAGACTTAGAGGTGGGTTTCTCCTATTGTGAAAGAAATTCAATGGGCCCATATTTTTTTCCTCTTGGGTTAGTTAGGAGGACTGCAATCTCCATTATAATCTTTATGGAAGGCACACCATTCAGTCAGATGGATGTTTTTGTTGTTGTTAGGTGCTGTCGAGTTGAGCACTATTCATAGTGACCCTATGATCAAAAGATCTGAACCCTGTTCTGTCCTGCACCATCCTCACACTTCTTCACACACAAGAGCTCACTGCAGCAGTCACTGTGTCAAACCACCTGATTGAGGGTCTTCTCCTTCCCCAACCCTTCACCCTTCCCAGCATCATGTCCCTCTCTAAGAAATAGTCCCTCTTCGCAACATGTCCAAAGTATGTGAGGCAAAGCCTCATCATTCTTGGCTCCAAAGAGCACTCTGGCTGCACCCTCTCAAAGACATAGCTGTTTGTTTTCTTGACCGCCCATGGGATGTTCAGTGTTCTTCTTCAAGACCGCAGCTCAAAGATGCCAATTCTTCTTCTGTCATCCTTATTCATTGTTCAGGTCTCGGATGCATAGCTAGTAATTGGAAAGACTGTGGCCTGAATCAGATTCACCTTAGTCCTCAAACTGACATCACTACTCCTCAATAATGTGGAGAGGTCCCTGACTGCAGATTTTCCCAGTGCAATGTGTCACCTTATTTCCTGACTTCTGGTACTAAGCGTGTTAATTGTAGACCCAAGCAAGATGAAGCTGTTGGCAGTTTCAATCTCCTCTCCATCCATCATGAAGTTGCCTATCTGTCCAGGGGTAAGAATCTTTGTTTTCTTGACATTGAGATGCAATCCACCCTGAAGGCTGCATTCTTTGATCTTCTGCAGCAAGTGCTTCAAGCTCTCCTCACTTTCAGTTATTTATAAATCTGGAATCCATAATGTTGGATCCAAATGCAAATACATACGTGGAGTCTGAGAGAGAAAATAAATAAGAATGTCTAATATTAATTTAGTACTCACTGTATATCTAGAGAACTCTGGTGGCTTAAAGGTAAGGAATTGCACTGCCAACATAAAGATACACAGTTTGAACCCACCCGCTGGTCAGCAGGAGAAAGATGGACAACCTCTTCCTGTGCGATTTCCTCTGGGGACCTGTTGGAGGGTCAGCTATAAGTCTGTTCTGATTTGATGTGCTCACAACAACAAAATGTATACTTGGCACTGTTCTAAGCGATTCATGTATTTAGACACATACAATCCTAATGATAGTCCTAGGAGGTAATTTTATTTTCATTTTATAGATGAGGGAACAGGTACAGAGAAGTTAAGTAGCTTTGTATTGAAATCTAAAGCCAAGTGCTCCTTTGACAGAACATGCACTAAAATTGCAACAATACAGAGAAGATTAGCAAGGCCCTTGCACAAGGATGATACATCAATCTAAAGCCAAGACAAGATGTTCACCTCCAGTTCCTACCTACCCTCATGGAGTTCAAAGCCCAGTTATACAATTGTGAAGCTCTTGCTGAGTGCATGGAGATATAAAAAAAGTTGAAATTTACACTATTTTGTCAGCTGAGAAAAAAAAATTGCAGACGTAGAAATCAAACTTACCCTGTATCTGTGTTCTCAACTTCTATGCTACATACTGCCTCTTCTAAATGAAATTAACCCAAGTGGAGAAAAAAAAATCTCTCTTTTTCTGGAGTAACACAGGAAGAAGGAAGATATGAAATGTGTGGCTAATTGCCTCTCCTGCCTCCTTTGCCATGAGACCAGACAGTGTCTGATTAAAACTACTGAATAAAAATTTTGGATAAAGAATATATGAGAGAATCCTCATCAAAAAGGGGGAAATAAGGGAAGCTCTGGTGGCCTAGTGGCAAGAAGCTGCACTGCAGTTCCAGAGGCTCACGGTTCGAATCCACCAGATGCTCTGCCGAGGAAGGAAGGGCAATCTCCTCCTGTACCAGTCAGATCTGATTTGACGGTACACACGCATACCCACAAATAATAATAATAAAAACATTTAAAAAAGGGGGGAAATATAGACCAGAATTTAAAATTCTAATGGACTCTAGACTTTCTGGACCCTTGAAACTATTACCCTGAGATAATCTTTGAACTTTAAACTAAAAATATCCCCTGAATCTGTATACATTGTTTTTCACACTGGATCTTTCCTCTTTCATTTACCCATCCCTCCCTCCACCCCATCAAATTGTGTGACCCTATGATTAAGCACCTCCCCTCCTTGGATCCTTGTACTCATTCTATAATAATGGTCTTATACAGTATTTGTCTTTATGAAACTGAATTAGTTCACTTAGCATAATGCTCTCCAGTCTCTCCCATGTACAAAATTTTATCAACATTGTATGTAATCCAGGACAAAATAAAAAAATTATATATATATATATATATGTGTAAAAAAATCCCTGAAGTTGTCTTAAAATAAAACAACAATTTAGCTTCACTAGCACTGGAAAAGTCTACAGGCACTCCTCCAAATTATTGAGGAGCAATGATTTTAGTTTGAGGACTAAGGCACATCTGATTCAGGCTATTGCCTTTCTGATCACTTGCTTTATCTGAGAGCTAGACATGAATAAGGATTACAGAAGAAGAATAGATACCTTTGAGCTGTGGTGTTGGAGTGGAGTACTGAACGTGGTATGGACTGCCAAAAGAAAAAACAAATATTTCCTGGAGAAAGTACATCCAGAGGAAAAGATGATAAGGCTTTATCTAACATACTTCAGGCGTGTTGCTAGGAGAGGCTATCCCTTGGAGAGGAACATCATGCTTGGAAAGGCATAGGGTCAGCAGAACAGAGGAAGACCCTTACCAGGTAGGTGGACATGGTGACTGCTACAATGGGTTGTAGTATGTCAGAAAGTGTGAGGAGGGCACAGGTTAGGACAGGGTTCAGATCTGTTGTTCATAGGGTTCCTATGGGTCATACAACAACATAACAGTAAAGAATATCTGCCTTGAACGTTGTGTCTTTTCAAGATCTGTTTATATGGGATCAAATTGACAATGTTGTTATGTGCCATCAAGTTGGAAAAAATAGCAAATTGACAATATCAGCTTGAGAACTCAGGAGATTTAGGGGCAGTGAGTTTATGTTTATGGGGGACGAGCAGATTGGAAAAGGAGGGTAAGTAAGAATGGTTAAAGAACAGCAAGGATGTGACCAACATCAGTGAGTTGTACAAGTAGAAACTGTTGACTTGGGGTCTGTTTTGCTGTGTGTATTTGCAACAACAGCAAAATAAATAAGAGGGTTGTTGTTGTTATGTGCCATCGATTTGCTTGTGACTCATAGCGACCCTATGTACAACAGCCCTAAACTCTGCTCTGTCCTGTGCCAATCTCACTGTCTCTGACACATCTCCCCCATTACCCCAGTCACTGAATCAATCCACCTCATAGAGGCTCTTCCTTTTCTGCACTGTCCTTCCACCCTCCCAAGCATGACGTCCTTCTCCAAGGACTGGACCCTCCTTGCAACATGTCCAAAGTATGTCAGACAAAGCTTCAGAATTCTTGCCTGCAAGGAGCTGCCTGGTTTAACCCTCTCTAGGATGAACCTGTTTGTTTTCTTAGCAGTCCATGGTACACTGAGTACTTCTCCAGTGCCACAGCTCAAAGGCATCAATTCTCCTTCTATCCTCTCTAGTCATTGTCCAGCTCTCTGATGCATAGCAAATGATTGCAAAAACCACGGCCTGTATCAGGTGCACCTTAGTCTCCAGAGTGACACTATTGCTATTCAGTACTTTGGAGAAGTCCCTAACAGCAGACTTTCTCATTGCAATACGTCTTTTAATTTCCTGGCTGCTGGTGCCAAGAATGTCGACTATGGAGCCAAGCAGACTAAAGCTATTAACAATCTCAGTCTCTTCACCATACATCCTGATGCTGCCAATTGGTCCAGTGGTGAGAATCTTTGTCTTCTTGATATTGAGCCTTAATCCTTATTGAAGGCTGCAGTCCTGGCCCTCTGCAGCAAGTGCTGCAAGTCCTCCACAGTTTCAGCAAGCAGGGTTGTGTCATCTGCATAACACAGATTGTTGATGAATCTTCCTCCAATCCTCATGCCACACTTCTCATACAGCCCCAAAAGAAGCAGAGTAAGATTCCCCCGAATTATCCTTCCTCCTTTGCTAACCTGTTCCCCTGTGTTCTTCAGGTTGCCGGGGAGTTGCAGCTCCCTCCTCTGAGGACATCTTCATGCTGGCTGAAGCCAATGCCTGTTGGAACCTGGCTGCCCTGCTTTGCATGGAGGAGGACACTTTCCTCAGGACGGTGGAGCTGCTGGGCACAGTCAAGGGTTTTGACCTGTCTCAGCTGATGGTCTTGAAGGAGAAGGCGATACAGGTAGAACTTACACCACAGGGAGAGTATGACCTAGAGAACAACACCAACAGTTGCCATCCTTCTGTGTATAGATAGCCTCTCTTCAGGGGCGTTCATTCACACTGTCCTGTTAGCTCAATACTGTGCAGTTTTCCATCTGAGAAGTGAGGAAGTTTCTAACTCCCTCCTCCTTAGGACTGTGGCAGAGAATGAGCGGATTTGGCACGGGGTGGATGCTCAGGGAATAAAATTCTGTGCATGCTCTGGTGCCCCTGACCGTGACGGTTCCAGGGATTGTGCATTTTCTCCTTCCAAAAGGAGAAGCCCAACTGCTGTTTGCAGCAGGCTTTCTCCAAATCTGCTGCCAATCTGCCTGGAAATGTAGCAGCAAAGAGTCAAAAGAAGGCTGAAAGTTGCTTGCCATCTTTAAAACGGTTCATTTTAGTGGTTTGTTTTGGATCTTAGTTGGTAGAATAGTTATACCTTTTTTGGTTAAAAAAATTCTTTAATATTACATTTATAACTATTTTTAAAAATGAGTCCAGAAAATAATAAGAAAGAAAAGCAAAAATTAATAAAACAGAAACATAAAAATAGTTGCTTCAATTAAAAGTGGAGGGGGGATAAATGAAATAAACTACAACTTAATTTAATAAAGAAAAAAAGAGATACATGTACAAGGCAAAATATAACATAGGGAAATAATAAAGAGTAAATTTTTTAAATTCAGGAAAAAAGAAGAACATCAATCATAATCCGTTATCAGAGTTAAGCACTATTAATATTTTGGCATATAGCTTCCCAGATTTCTGTTAATGAGTGTAAAGTATATTTATATAATTCACATGTATAAAAAAAAACCCAAAAGATGGGATCAGATTAATTTACTTTTCTGCTTTCCATACTTGACAGCATAGAGTGCATATTTTCCAATATCAGAAAACGTATTTCGCTATTTTTAGGAGCCATATCATATTTCATTTCATGACTGAATCTTATTTATTTAGCCAACTGTTAAATTTTGCTAAGCTAAGATTGCTTCTATCTTTTTCATGCCACAAAGAATGCATTTCTGTATATAACTTTGGGCATTTGTCTCATTATTTCCTTAGACCATATTCCCAGGGATAGAGTTTCTGGGTCAAAGAGTATAAATATTTTAATAGCTTTTAATACAGATAGCCAAATTGTACTCCAAAAATTGTATGCTAGTTGATGTTCTCAGTAGTGTCAAACAAGGCTGTCCTGTATCCCTCGCCTTCCCAGTGGCACAGCCTCCCTTTTCACTCCTTGTCAACATGAGCCAATGAAGGAATCTTTGATTGCTTTTCATATACATTTATTTAAATCAATTGAGATAGCACTTTGCGCATGTGTTTATTTCTGGCATCCTGGAAATACTGACCACATCTTTTGCTTGTTTTTCTCTAAGAGTAGCGATCTTTTTATTGATTTAAAAGTTACAATTTACCCCTTATTTTTATAACTTACAAATAGAAGAATGTATCATTTACCCTTTAATTATACACATAAAATACATATAGTTTATCTTATAAATGAATTTATTAATTACCCTGTATTGATTTATGTGAATCCTCTGTGGGTGTAGCCTATGGGTGTAGCCTGTGGTGGTGTAGTCTGGCGGTACAGTCTGTGGTGGTGTAGTCTGTGGTGTAGCCTGTGGGTGTAGTTTGTGGTGGTGTAAGCCTGTTGATGTAGCTTGTGGGTGTAGTCTATGGTGGTGTAGTCCATGGTGGTGTATCTGGTGGTGTAGCCTAAGGTGTAGCCTGTGGTGGTGTAGCCTGGTGGTGCTGTCTGTGGTGGTGTAGTCTGGTGGTGTAGCCTGTGGCTATTGTTTTTGGTGGTGTGGTCTGTTGATGTAGCCTGTGAGTGTAGTCTGGTGGTGTGGCCTGTGGTGGTGTAGTCTGTGGTGGTGTAGTCCGTGGTGGTGTATCTGATGGTGTAGACTGTGGTGCTGTAGCCTGTGGGTGTAGTCTGTGGTGGTGTAGCCTGGTGGTGCTGTCTGTGGTGGTGTAGTCTGGTGGTATAGCCTGTGGGTGTAGTTTGTGGTGGTGTAGTCTGTGGTGGTGTAGTCCATGGTGGTGTATCTGGTGGTGTAGCCTAAGGTATAGTCTGTGGCTGTGTAGCCTGTTGATGTAGCCTGTGGGTGTAGTCTGTGGTGGTGTAGTCTGGTGGTGTGGCCTGTGGTGGTGTAGTCTGTGGTGGTGTATCTAGTGGTGTAGTCTAGTGGTAACTGTAACCCAAAGACCACACCTCTCTGGCAGTTAGACTCCACTAGTAGCTCCAAGGGAGAAAGCCTGGAAATGTCCTCCGGCACAAGTTACAGCTTTGGAACTCCAGTGGAGGGTCAGTTATGAGCTTGAGTTTGCTCTGACTTGACAACAATGAGAGATATTAAAAAAACCCACCAAAACAACCCAACAACAAACCATATATGTATTTTACTCCTTTGTCTGCTTTATATGCTTTCCTAATGTTTCATCTGAGCAAGCCTTTTTTTTACCTGAAGGTTTGGGACATGCCTCTGTACTGGAAAGAGTACCACATTGTCTCCCTGGGACGCATCGCTCTGGCTCTAAATGAGAGTGAGCTGGAGCAGCTGGACCTCAGCTCCATTGACACAGTGGCTTCCATAAGCCAACAGACAGAATGGACTCCAGGACAGGTGGGTAGATGTTTCTGGATCTTAAAAATATTCTGTTTCTCTTTGCTTGTTTTCCTTGGCATCCTTGAACATATTAATAACACGTTGTTGTTATGTGCCGCTGAGTCGTTTGCGACTCATAGCGACCCTATGTACAGCAGCCCTAAACCGTGCTCTATCCTGTGCCAATCTCATTGCCTCTGACACACCCATCCCGATTACCCCAGTCACTGAATCAATCCACCTCATAGAGGGTCTTCCCCTCCTGCGCTGTCCCTCCACTCTACCCAGCATGGTGTCCCTCTCCAAGGACCTGTCTCTTCTTACAACATGTCCAAAGTATGTCAGATGAAGTCCCAGAATCCTTGCCTCCAAGGAGTAGCCTGGTTTAACCCTCTCCACGATGAATCTGTTTGTTTTCCTGGCAGTCCATGGATGGTACATTCAATACTCTTCTCCAGCACCACAGCTCAAAGGCGTCAATTCTCCTTCTATCCTCCCTAGTCATTGTCCAACTCTCTGATGCATAACAAGTGATTGCAAAAGCCATGGACTGTATCAGGCACACCTTAGTCTCCAGAGAGACACCATTGCCCTTGAGTACTTTAGATTTATTGTTATATTTTTATATTAATGTTTTATTAATAATATAGTTCTTAAATTTTTATTTTATACTGATTTGCTTATAAAGTTTGTGTACATTTTGTTTCACACTATCCTTCATTCATATTGTGTTTCATATCATCATTCCTGTGCATTATGTTTTATAAAATTAAATCACCATTGTACTATTCCCATCATTATCCTGTCTTTTCCGGTCTCTGCTGGATCTTTCCCACTTCCTTTAGCTTCTCCTTGAGTATGATAATACGATTTATCATACCTGCTTTAAAATAATTGCTGATAATCCCACCATCACGATCATTCCCAAATGTGTTTCTATTGGCTATCTTCTCCCTTGCTTACAGGCCATATCTTTCTGCTTATTTGAAATCCTGGTAGTTTGGATTGAATGTTGGGCGTTGTGAGTGTTATGATTTTTGCTTGTTAGATTTAGTTAAAATTCCTTTAACGGACATTGAATTTTGTTCTATCATATAGTTACCTGACCTTCTAATTGGTTCAATACTTTTAAAAAGTCTTTCAGCAATTTAATTTTTCTTTAATCAATATAAGAAACCGGTATGATGTTGCATCCGTTAACTGGGTTTTTGGGTTGGTTTTTTTTTTAACATCTATTAACTTTTGAAAGTTTTACAACAGTTAAAGTATCTTTGCATCTATATATGAAGGTTAAAAAAGAAAAAATCCCTACCTCCCTGCCAAAATAGAAGAATAACCAATTTTCACCATCAAGTAAAAGTAAAAACTGGGATTCTTTTTTAAATTAGTCCCCGGAGGCATTTAGGAACTTAGCTGTAGTCTGCTTCACTGACACTGTGATAAACTGAAGTGTAGGGTGGCTCTGGTTTTGTTTGGGTTTTCTTTCCCATACGAAATACTCATGGATTAAGTCCTGAGAATGTTCCAATTGTAAGGCAGGGATCCTTGAATTCCACCACTTGCATGCTCCTTTGTTTGGACACTGGAGGGTGAGTGAGGCAAGTTTTTCTGGACCCATGTCCACGACCTTATAGTCATTAAGGTCAAAAAAGTCATTGTCTCCTCCTTGGTATCCCATGTCTGGAAATCTACTCAGTACCGCAAGACACCAGCCAATCCCACCAAGTCCTTTCACAAACTGGGATCCTTCTTGTGACTTATCTGTGACAATTTCCAATGTAGCTCCAAACTTTTTGTAATTATTAGCAAACCATTCCAGTAGGGACGTGCTCTCAGTCAGCTCCTGTGCTTGTCTTGTCTCTTTTATCTGTGAAATGAGATGTATCCTTCTCTTGTTCTGAAGTAAGATGGAGAATTTTCTCCTCTTCTGTGCCTTGGCAATGAAGAACAGATCTCATTACAGCCAGACTTTCACAGACTATTAGGATCTCTACAGCTCCCATTTTCAGAGCCTTTAGTGTACCTCCAACTCCAAAACAGTACTTGCCTGGTTCCTGGCTCATTTCATCAAAATATCATCCTGTTCATTTCTTCTCTTGAACGAACTGCACCTTGGAGAGGACTTCAGTAGATAACACAATAATGGCTTGATTGAATCTATTTTCACCACTGTAGGAGATACCAGCTAATTTCAAAACTTTTGATTGCAATCTCTGATCAAACATATCCAATTGATTGAGTTCAGTTGTAAAGTCAGTTGATCCAGCTAAAATGAGACCAGCTACATTCACTTAGTCCCCAGAAATGAACAGCTGCACAGCAGTCTCAGCTACTTTCCAAACGTGTGTCGTTTTTCTGTTCTTGAATGGGCAAAATACAAGGCACACTGACCTCTTCTACTGTGTTTCTTTGGAAGATCCACTGTGAGTTTGTGCAGGACTTCTCTTGTGTTTTCCTGGAGTGTGCCAAAAAAGCACACCACTACCATCTCTTACAAGGGAGCCAAACTGGCTATCATCCAAGAGTAGTGCTTGTAAGAGCCTCTGTATGGAATTTGTTATCACAGAAATACAAGGGCATATTAATTGTTCTGAAAGGCTCAAGGTCAACGTTGACTTTCTTTCTCTTTCCTTCTTCTGTTGCGATTGTTCCACAGTAAACAAGCAGACCGTTTAGAGAGACTTGGTGATAAAGTTTGAATCTTTGTTGTACAGAGGTAATGGCTCCCAGGACTGAAAGGGTTGACTCATGATTTAATGATAGATGTAGTCCCAAAGGCAACTGCTAACTTTTTGACCTCTCAAGGTATCTGGTCTTTGGGAGGAATGATCAGTGATATCATGCTCTACACTTAAAAAAAATATTTTATATTGGTTTGCTTACAAAGTTTGTATACATTGTGCTTCACACTATTTTTTTTAAATGAAACTTTTATTTTATATTGGTTTACTTTCAAAGTTCATGGACACTGTTTTTCACAGTAGATCTTTCCCATTTTCTTTACCCACCCCTCCCTCTAACCATTAGCTTCACACTATTATTCATTCACATTGCGTTTTATACAATCATTACCATCTGAGGATTCTACTGAATACTCTAAAGAGTTCTCCATTCTGGATGCTGGGTTCATGAAGTATTCCCTCATCCAACTCAACTCTGGGAATTGTCAATTTTACGGCTTTCTTAGGACTCGTTCCCTGTCTATATGGAGCTTTACCTCTTGAGTATGCAAATCAGTGATTAAGCAAAGACTTGAGTTGTCATTGCAGATATTGAAGGCTTATTTTTGTGCAGTTGTTTTCCCCTCCAGTACTCTTGTCTCACAAATTATAAGTGCTCTAGTTTCTTTGATGCTAATCTCATTCCTGTGCGGTCCATCAGGTGAGGTCCATGTGTATAGTTGCCATTCATGTTTTTTTAAAAAAGGTATTTGTGATAAATAAATCATAGATTGTACAAAATTCACTCACTTTATCCCCAGTCTCATTTCTGTACCCAAGTCTATAATTTCCAGACCTAACCTTGCTTGCTGAAAGTGAGGAGGACTTAAAACACTTGCTGCAAAAGAGTGAGGACTACAGCCTTCAATATGGCTTATATCTCAACGGCAAGGAAACAAGAATCTTCACCACTGGACCAACAGACAACATTGAGATAGATAGAGAAAAGTTTGAAGTTGTCAACAATTTCATCTCACTTTGATCCATAGTCAACACCTGTGGTATCAGCAGTTAAGGAGTCAAAAGGTGTATTGCATTGGGAACATCTGAGCTCTCCAAAGTGCTATGGGACCATGATGTCAGTTTAAAGTTCAAGGTGCATCTGATTCAAGTCATGGTCTTTTCAATCACTTTCTAAGTACCTGAGAGTTGGACAGAAAATAAGGATGACAGAAGAAGAATTGATGCCTTTGAGCTGTGATATTGAAGAAGAGTACTGAATATCCCATGGACTACTGGTCTATGGAGGATGGATGATTCATTCACAACCTACATTATCCAAATGACACAACCTTGCTTGCTGAAACTGAGGAGTTTGAAGCATTTGCTGAAAAAGTCAAAGACTGCAGTCTTTCAATATGGATTGCATCTTAGCATCAGGAAGACAAAGATCTTCACCACCAGGCCAATAGGCAATATCATGATAAACAGAAAAAGGACTGCAGTTGATAATTATGTCATCTTTCTTGGACCAATAATCAGCACTTGGGAACAAGCAGTCAGGAAGTCAAAAGATGAGTTGCACAGGTAAAAGCTATTGTCAAGGACTTCTGCAAAATGCTAAAGAGCAATGATGTTAATTTTGAGACTAAGGTGCACTAGATTCGGGCCATGGTCTTCTCAATTGCTTGTTATGCTTATGAGAGCTGGACAGGGACTAAAGATGACAGAAAAAGGATTGATGCCTTTTGAGTTGTGGTGCTGTTGAAGAGTGCTGAACATAGCATGGACTTTCAAAAGAACAAATAAATCTGTCCTGGAGAGAGTGAAACCAATTTGCTCCTTGGAGGCAACAATTTTGAAATTCTGTCTCACAAATTTTGAGTATACTGATAGGAGAGACCTGTCATTGGAGAAGGATATAATGCTTGGAAGGGTAAAAGGTCAATGCAGGATAGGAAAACCCTGGATGAGATGGACTGAAACAGTGACTGTGGCAATGAGGTCAAGTCTGTCAGAGTCTTGGCTCAAGATAGGGCAGGATTCAGAGTCATTGTTCAAGAGCCACTATGAGTTGTAGTCGACTTGATGGCAACAACAACACCAACTCAAAGAGTAAATAATTATATCTTGGATAAAGTGCAACCATGGTTCTCCTTAGAGGTAAGGACAATGAAACTTTACCTCAGGTACTTTGGGACATGTTGTTGGATGGGTACACTCCCTGGAAAAAGACATCAGTAAGAGAGGAAGACCCCGCAATGAGATGGGTTAACACAGTGACTATAGAAATGGGCTTAACCTAAAACAAGGAAAGAATAAAGTAGATGAATGAGATCTTCTAAGAATCAAGTTCCT